AATGCGAAGACCGTGTTCATGTAGTCGCAGAATGTCCGTTGTACAAGAAGGAGAGGGAAGTGTACGTGACTGAGCTGGGAAAAATAGATGGGACGTACAGGGAGATGTTTGAGGCATGGAATAGAGAGAAAAGGACGGCAGCTGTACTGGGGCATAGGAGGTGGGTTGGAAAGGCGGGAAGGGATATCGTTAGGATAGACAGACTAGGGAAGGCATTTTTGAGTCACCTTTGGCAAAGTAGAAAGGAACGATTGGCCATCGGTGAACGGTCCTGTGGGAACAATTCTCGGTCCTCTCGAGGACGCGTGGTCAATGGTCTAACCGCCAAGGCATGCAAAACACAAGAGTACGCCCCCCTCCTTGCTTTCTGGTTTTTCCACGTCTTATCTCATCTGACTGAACCTATCCTACCCAATCATATATGTCGTTCGTTGATTCTGAGTCGCGCCCTCCACACTATTCCTCGAACGCGTAGGCCATCACACCCGAGGGCAAATTGCCGCAGCAACTGCGATACGTGTTCATCCAGAAGGGTTCCACCAAGCGTTTCAGCGATGTGAAGGGAGCCATCCAGCGCGTACAACGTATCTGGTGTGGGTCCCCAGCCGGTAAGGCTGGTGCACCATTCATACTCGGTGGGGACGAGGAGACGTACAAGCACATGTACCACGTCATGGCACAGGAGTCGAGCGAGTACCGACAAGTCCGTCGCTACCCCGGCGATTGGCATTTGCTGTTGCACATGGCCAAGGCGATGCTTACGCGGTACTGGGGTGCTGGCGTGGAGTTCGTGGCGAAGGATTTGGGCATAGACGAGTCGAAGTCGGGGGAGGGGAGCAACTACCGTCGGGCCTTCCACCACATAACGTGGTTTTTGGCGGCGTTTATGGCTCTGTGTCGACAGGAATACTTGAAGAGCTTGCAGACGCCAGGTGACAGACCGGTGGAAGAGGACAAGGTGGTCGACGGGGTGGTTCGGTGGATAGTGGCACGGGCGGAGTCTCACAAGACTTTCGCAGTGTGGAAGCAGTTCCTCCTCCACGACTACCCTGCGTACATCGCCTTCCCAACTGCCCTGCGTACGGGGAACTTCAGGCTAAGGCTTGAAGGCCTTCGCCGTATCGCCCCCGTTTTTTCCATCACCGGCAAAGACAAGTACCACTTCCTCGTGGTAGATCATCTGACGGAGGTGTCGCGTTATTCGCGCAATGATATGAGGGTCGTATCCGAGCTATTCTCCGTCTCACTCGGCCCTGACACGTTTGCACGAATCGGCTTGGACGAGCGGCAGGTGTCCAATCGTCTCTACAAGACATTGACGAAAAGGATTCTTTCGAGCACGATAGAAAAGCTGGCACCGATTGCCCAGCTGCGTGAAGTCGACATCTTCGACTTCGAATCGTATTTCATCGAGAAACCACGCACGGACAGGGACCGTTGCAGAGAGTTGGCGGTGAAACGTGCACCAGCAGTCAGGGCGGCGATGGACTGCTTGAGAGAGAGCCCGGCATGTGAAGGCGACGATGGAAAGACAAGGTCGTGGCGTTGGACAGGAGAGTGTTTCCGCCGGTCAAGTGGCTAGAGATTCTCGACTCGCCCGCTGAGGCTCGTACGAAAATGCGCGAGTGTGTCCTGTACTACGTGTTAAAGAACGAAAAACTCAACGGCGCGAAACTCAGGGGCGCGACCAAGAAGAAGGTTTTCTCCGTCCCGGCTAGGAACAGCATCAACAAGGCCACGAAGAGTCAAGGGAGGTCGTCTGCACTCAAGGATTCCGTCGGTAACGCCTACGCTGGGGGGCAAGAGTGGAAGGCCCTCACGCTGAACATGTTCGATGCGGCCAGAGAAGGTGGGGGTGTGGTGACGCAAGACCAGATGCTGGAAATGGTGACGTCCATGGGAGCGGCCACGCCGTACAGCATGGGCAACGTGACGGGAGGTGAGGAAGAGAGCGTGCGCAATACAGGTTGTCATATCGTGCTTTCGCTCCCAGCCGAAGCTCACCCACTCTCCACACCCGTGTTTCTGAGTGTTATTATCATTATGCATATCACATCACATTGTGTTCACCCCCACCCCCCCATCCCCAAACACCCCTGTTGGAAATCTCTCCCCAAACGTATCAGGAGCCAAGCACGCCAACAAGGCGGCAGGTCCGCGGAAATGGGTCAGAGAGCATTGTGCCGACGGGTTCGCAGACGACTCGTTTTACGACGCTGACGCTCATGGCATGGATCTTCCCGCGTCAATCCACCAAGGGGTGCACCCGGAATATCTCGAGAATGGAACTGCGGGAACAATCGACTACTTCAAGAGGCAGCTGTTGCCGAATTGGCTGCAGTCAACCGAGCTACTCCTGGTGTGCTACGACCGACAGGAACTGGTGCCGGTGATCAAAGGACAAGAACAGCTTGGGAGGACCGAGAAATTTGGTGAGTGCTCTCGGACCTCCGACCCGAAGTCAACGGACCTTGTTCCTTCGTTACAGTATGGACCATGGCTTCGAGCCGATGGCAAGGCGGCGCGGGACGGAATCGCCGCCTACCTCGCCATGCGCGTGCTAGCTGATGAAGTCTGGACCGGCGACACCAAGCCGAACGGAATCGTCGCATTCTATGGCGTCGG